TGCTAACTTTTATTAATTTATATTCACATCAACCCTCTATAGCATGTGACATGTGCTAACGCATGTGAGCAATTTGATAACGAGTTTCGATCAACAAATCGCATATAAACTTTTAAATGCTTTGTATGCAAAAAAAATGGTTTCGTATAAAAGAGACAGTTTACTTGGACATATTTTATTAGTGTACATTCCTTAAACAAACCAACAATTATTCAACAAAGACGAGCAATTTAAATGATTCTCTTAGCATTAAATAAATATAAATTTTTATCGTTGGTATGACAATGCAAATCTAGAATAGAACATTTATAGGGAAATCGTATTTTATTCTTACACATCAAAGCAATTTTATTTCAGTTTAAGCATTTCCCTGTTGAATTTGATATTGAACATGTCTGATTTAAGTTTAGTCTGGTAATCGCTTGTTTCGGGAAACTTAAGTGGAAACATGATACTGTCTGGTCAAACTAATTGAAGTGCAGACTTACTTAAATCTGTACATTAGCCATGATAGTATCTCTACTAGAGGGTTCATATTTTTTATGACATAAGAACACTCAAATATGGATAGTCTGATTCCGTGTCAATAATCCATTTAACTCTCATTATAATGGATTAACACCAAACAAGAAAACTTGTTCAAAAATAAATACATATTTTTTTAACTGATGTAGGATTATAGAAAACGTTAGATGACATAGAAAACACAACGGAATGTAAGTATTTAAACTCATTACTCAAGCCCAACCCTTTTCAGAAAAAATAATATCAAATGATAAACAAAGCCAATTTTCGTTTAGTGAAGCCATTTATTTTGTTGATAATCACCGATGTTTATCAAGTTTCGAAAATCAAACTAATAAAAAGTTGAAACAGTATTTTAGATTAGGCATTAATGATTATTGTTATTCACACGCAGGTAAATGAAAGTGCAAATAAACAAAATGAGAAGAAAAAAATATTTTCTGTAAAGTTGAAACTAATTAAGCCACTTAAATGTGTTATGGTGTATTTTATTTCAAAGGATAGTAAAACATGTTCTGATATTAAAACCAAAATGGTTCTTTGCGATTTTAATACACTTTATAAAAGCTTTAAAAGAAAAAAGTAAAATAACAATAACCTACGTTTTAAATTTTTTTATCTGTACAAAACTTCCTTCATATAAAAAAATAGTTTTGGTTCAAGGTCACTGAATTACGCAAAATATTCTTCACTGTGACATGCCAGTCGTAAAGATTAATTTAAAGGGCCTCTTATCAAATCCGGTAATCTTCCTGATGTCTCGAGTGTTCTTTTTATGCCGTGTTCTTGTCATTTATCGGTGCTGATTAACTTTGCATGTATGTGAATGGTACTCTTTTTTCGGGCATGGGCAAATTTTATCATCTCAATAACACATAAAATGTCCCCAAATGCTCTCAAATAGACATAAAACACACATAAAATCCGTTGACAATAAGAAGACAAGGAAGGGATCATTTAATCAGTTGTTTAAATTTACTAACTTCATCAGCGTCAGTTTGCAACACTAGATTACGATCTTATTGGATATCTTTTATACTCTGTAGAGAAATAAAATAAGTAAAAAATTCTATTTGGTTTGTTTTAGATTATAAATTTTCCACTTGGAAATCTGTTAATTAACATTGTTGAGTCAGTCGAAATTAAAAGTAATGAAGGAGTGAAAAAATCAAAATCTGTACTTCATGATTGAAATTCTTGAAATCTTAGATACGTTTAAGTATCATGATCATATGGATTTCACTGCGAAGCAAAATGAAAATCATAAATACATATATTTGTAAAATTGAGATGCACTGCTAACAAATCAATCTGTGAAAATTTGTAAACTCGTTTTGTTTGAGTTATTGTGTAGGTATACCTTGAAATGAAAACGTAAAACTTAAACTGAATAATCATTAAATACTTAAGCAGTAGACGAATTGTTATCCAAACGTGATTTTTAGCCTTTATTCGTAAATCTTTATTTTTTGAACAGAAATCGAATTTGCACAAAGCTTTCTCAGCAAAATTTATGATATCAATCATTGTCTTGGTGAATCGCAATCCCTATCTTTTTCAAGCAGTCAGAGTTCTCCGAAGATGTCGAATTGAACACAAATGAGTTACATATTCTCATCTTTAAATAGGTGAGGATGCTAGTATTCGATTATCGAACTTACAGTGAATATTTCTTTGTCAAACAGTTTCCTCTTGAATAACTTGATCTTGCACAGGTTCATGAAAGATTTTACCGAGTAAACTTACTTGCAGAGCGTTTGTCTCAGATACATTCACAACCATAGGAATAGTTAGAAAGTGCAATATTATGTATCATTATATTGTAATGATTGATTTTAAGTATTTTAGTTGCTTATCGTATAAAAAAACAGAAAACAGCGCTGAATTATGAGTTGTTTAAAATAAAGGTAGCAAAAATGTAAACAAAAAGCATTATGATTTGCATGTATAATACTAAATCATTTTAATTGTCCTAATTGTCAAAATGCAAAAGATTGTTCAGTTATATAGCCAATTTGTAAGGTATGGATTAAAAAATAAAAGCTTGTAGAAATAAAAAATAGCAATTTTTGAAGCTTGATTAGCCTAACAAGAAAATGAACATATATTATAAGATTTTATTAACTCATTTGTATAATTCTTCACTAACTTACTTTAGACTTAACAATTTCTGCGACTAGAAATATATCAATATGCTGTTAAACTCTAACATACAAAGAAGGATTGAATGTGCATCGTTTCTGACGATCTCCGTAGAATTCAATCGTCTTCACATATTCTATAATTTATTTTTGATTTTCTTTATTTCAAACGTTAACACTAAATAGAATGAGTCCATATGTATAATCTAATATAAACAAATTGAATATCAAATAAGCTAATAATTTTCCATTGGCGTGATAATATAGCATATCACTCAGAATATCTATGGTATAATTTGATAAAAAAAAAGTTTTGAGGCAAAGGGAAAGAAAAACATTTCATACAGAATAGGGCGGTACGAGCCATTACTTTTCATGCTTGAATGCATAATTTTTTCACCGGCCAATCCCTGTTTTGTGGGCAGATATTTTTGTCATTTTTCTAAGTCTTTGACGTAAACCCTGAATAATTGTAAAGTTATATATATAATTTCCGTAAATAGACAATAAAGACATTTACATAAATAGTAATTAGGCAATTTTAAGTAGGAAGGTATAAACTAAAATAGTTCACATGTGGCAGATGGTTTGATGTTACTCTTTAGCGCATGACTTCTGTATTATTATATGTTGTATATGTGATATGTGGGTTGAAGGAAAATAAAAACAGCTTTGTAATCTACTTGATTTAAATGGCTTGTTGGAGAGTTTAATGGACTAATAGAACATTATTTGATGCCCAGTGGAATCATTACGTGTGATATTGAGTGATAACAGTTAATAAAGATGTTACAATATAATCGACTTTTTAGGATATAACCTGCTACATTTATGTCGCCTGCAAGAAAGGTAGTAGATACATACTTATGTAAGTGAACTAGGTCAATGCATACTTACGTAAATGAACTTGGTCAATACGTACTTACGTAACAAGTTTATATTCAGAACAATAAAGAAACAATAAAGTATGTTTTCATCCGTTGAAAATAGTTTTAATTATTTTATAAAGTGGTAAGACAGACAAATTGTTGGAACAAAAAAAAAAAAAAAAAAAATATTTGTAGAACATTTTTTCTTGATTGAAACAGGTATCTGTTATGTTTGGTCAAACAGAAAGTAAAGGAGATGAAGCATACATATTTTGATACACAATTATTGTAAGCATAGATATAAAACTGCAAATATTTTGAAATTAAACATTTGAAAAATATGACCAGACAGAAAATGGAGAAAAAGAGTACAAGTTAGAGAAAAAAGAGTTGTAATAACAAAAGGTCTGCAATATTTGGTATGTTTCTATACTATAATATCCATAACATATTAATAGTGTCCTAGGTGGAACTATAAAATCCTTTTCTTCTGGTGTTTGTTTGTTGTTGTTGTTGATAATGGTGTCGTTTGTTGTTTTTTTTTTCTAGTTTTGTTTTGTTTTTTCCCTGTAAAAGTCCCTAAAAGTGATGCATTACACCCTGATTCAAGATCTCAGTATGTTTTGATATTATAGAATATGAACATACCAAATATTGCAGCTTTATAGTTTTTACAATATGTCTTTCTATCTGGTTTCGCAGTTTCTCTATTACTAAACGAGATTTGTAATAACATTGTTATCATTTCTGTTTCAAAAATATACAAACCAGCCGTAAGTAACAATATTTAAAGTTCAACTTTTTCTAATTCATTCTTTCAAACCTTGAACATCTTTTTATTAATTTATTTTGTTAACCACAATCAATCATTCTTTTTATAGGATAAGATTATCTAACTATGGCAGGTTTTGCATTGTTTTATAAATATATCATTACAAAAGGTCAAATAATGTCTTTAGAAATGAATTATTCAGTAGATGTCATGTGAAATGTCCTCGTAAAACTTTCTTAACTGCTGTCAAATATAAAAATATTCACAATCTTAATCTTATAAACATATCAAACTGCTTTTTATTCCCACGGCGCACCGAGCTCTGCTCATGGGAAATTCTCGTAAATACGATTTGACTAAACAGGTTAAGCTCGGCGTTGTAGCAGCATTGGCAAATTATCAGAGAGTATTGGCAATCATCCAGGAAAATAACATGTCATATGAGACGCATTGAATTGAATGACAAATGATTCTATGAAATAAATCTGCACAGCATTTTAATTCGTTACTTAGGGTTTTTTTTATTCAAACATACTTAAACTAAACATAAATAGATAAACATACATGAAAAAGGAATGAGAACATCGTGATTGTTAATAACTTTTTGTAGGTTTTTAAGATTCATTGGAAACTTCTCTATCACTTCTCTATCAGTATAAGCAAGACATAATTTGTTTCAATGTTTCATTTCAGTTAACAGAAGATCTACCCGAAGCTTGTCCATCTGTGCTCATAGGGGAAGATGATGACATTAACAACAGCTAGACAATCAGTGAGATTTGTAACAAGCAAAGAGAAAGAAGGGACTCAGGGGGAGGATACTCTTACTATATATTTACTGTTATGATATCTAACTCAACATTTGTATTTGTTTGGTATTTCTTTAAGCTAACAACGTGAAAAAATATTAACAACGTGACTAAAATATAAACAATGAATAGTTGTTTCATAAATATTTGTAACTAGGACTAAAGAAATGAATACCAGTTAAAAAAGCATGACAGGACAGTACAATCCTTTCGGAATTCTTAATTTACTTGACTTTATCTAAAATATGCATCTTTGTTTTCATGACACTCGTGATTCAATCTTTTTTATTAATAATAGATCTTTTTTTATTAATAATAGTACCGCAAGTTTGAAAAAATTAAATCAAATCATAAAAACCAAATAAAAGATGAAATGACTTATTTGAATGATAAGGATATTTTGAACATGATATGTGGCATTGTTAAATAATCAAAGAAATTTGTATATGTAAATACAGCTGATTATGTATTCATTTTGATTTAAATCTGAGTCAATAAAAATAATAAATACCACTAATCTCAACTAGTTTTTAACCAAACAGTATGAAATGTGTAATGTCATTTTAAGGATTTGAATGTACAGTTTGTGAGTATTAAAGAAGGATAAAAAGTAAAGATACACAAAAACCTGTTTTCAATTTAGTTTGTTTTGCGTTGTCTTATTAAGTACTGTTATTGTAAATGAGGATTGTATTGTATGCATGTGGGTTAATTCAGATTTTTTGTATACATGTAGTTCTATAAGCTTTCTATCATATTTTTGTTTACATAACTCGCCAAATGATTCGTCAAAGAAAGAATACTAGTTATTACAGTAATTTTTTATTCTTTATTGTAGTCACAAACTTTGTTGAAAGGTTTTAGGTATCAGTAACTACTTTGTTTTTTCCTTTTGCATGCGTAACAATATACTAACTGAATTGTCAAGACATGGACCATTTCTTTCCCAGCGGATATCAATATACTAACTGAATTGTCAAGACATGGACCATTTCTTTCCCAGCGGATATCAATATACTTAAAACACACAGTTTATTCTTATCTTTTTATTTGTTAAAGTTCTTAATAAATCCTCGACAATGATATATTTATTGACAATCAGCACATTGTAGAATAGTGGAATGATATGATTAAATGGTTATAAAGAATCATACGTTATCTCCAGTTTTGATGGAGGGAAATGGATAACAATGTTCAATATCAGTATGTTTAATGGTATTGAAGTAATCTTTTGGGATTTGCTTTTACTGCAATAAAATATAACAAACGTTTATTGTTATCTTGATTCATTAGACGATATGCTACATGAATTTCATCGATTACTTTCGTTAATCTTGGATAAAACAGTAAACAATATATAAGTTCAGATAAAGAACCAAAACAATACAGGGTTATTTTAAGCGGTTTCATAGAGGCATACGGCATAAATGCTGGATTTGATCTGTTTACTACGAGAAATTGTCAGGTTAACGAGCGAATGCTTAGCAGACATTTCAACAATCTTATCAATTACAAAAGTTAAACAAATATAGATGATAAATTTCCTCAGGGCTAGTATGATTGGTCAAAATTGATTCGTAAATGATTGGTATATTAAATATAAAGAATATAAATAACTAGCTTAAACTCAAACTGATCTGTAAGTCTTTATTAAACTATAAAACATTCTATATAACTGATCCGTCAGTTTCTTTTCTTTATATCATTAATAAATCTATTACGACAGCAGTAAACAATATATATTAAAGCAACCCGGTTTCCACTTGTCAAACCTATTGACTATTTTCTGTCGAATGAAATAATTTCACTTAGAACACGGGAAGGAAGCTCGTAGCAAGTTCTAACAACAAAGTTACAAAAATGACCAAGTGACTTCTTCAACTTCAATTCAAACTTTTCCTCTCTGCAGTAAAACTCAGGTATTTATATGTATGGACATATCCAAATCAAATATGCCATTACTTGATACTTAATCCTTAAAGAGTGTCTTAAACGAGTATTCAAATAGTGAGCGTCTACTGAACACTTTCATAAAAAGCTATTATAAATGTTTGAACTTACCGACAAATGGCAAGATGTTTTAATTTTTCAAAGTCTTGACTTAAATGTAACTAATTTTTATAACTTTTACCTTGTTAGATGTTAATGTCGATCAATTATTAAATTGGAAAAACTATGCTTAATCAAACAAATAATAGTATAGATTCAATATTTAAAATTGCATCACCCATTCTTACGCCCACTGATAAAAATAATGAAATAAGTATGAAAGTGTTAAAATGTGTAGAGTTATACAGTTTGTCTTCATGTTGTTTGTATTGGAATAAAATAATATTACTAAATCAGCTGAACTGGCTATGTTAATGCATTTTAAAGTATGCTTAAGTTTGCAACAATATCAAAGTCTTAAGCAGTTTCAATTACAATATGAAAACAATGAAAAGATATTAAACAAAAAAGATATGGAAAATTTGATATCGTAGTTGTGAATAAAACATGTTCTACAAAACAGAATGTCTTCGTAACGTATCGATCAAGACCCAATTTCACAGAAATATCATAAAACGAGTTTACATCACGAAATTTGTTCCAGTCTAAAACATTTAAAGTAATTATATGTATTATAAGACATAGAAATTAACATCAGAATTGTGAAACTATTCTTGCCTTAAGACATTACACATACGTTCTTCGCATGTAAATGTATCGAATTTAAGACACGCCTGGCACCACACTATATATTATTAACATTTGACACATATACTCTGCTTAAAGTTTAAATAAATGTCAATATACATGATATAATACGCATAAACAAAAATACCAACTCATTCATAACAGGTATGTTTCAGTATTTTTGTCAAAAATAATTTTTTGAAAAATGTAAAATTAAATGCTGTTCATTAAGCCCGTGTTTGTGTTTCGTAAGTATAGAGCCACCCGAAGTTTTTAGTTGTTTCTGTACTTTGTATGACCTTACGGTAATAAAAAAAACCCCAAGAGGTCATTGTTTACAATTAATGTTTGCAACACTGAATACTATAAATAGAAATAATGTTGAGATAAATATAAAAGTATCATTATTTATATCCAAGACAAATATGTTACAAACTTCTCTTTGAAGTTGAAAGTGAATTTCAAAGAACAAGATGTACAATATAAGGGCGGTAAGCATGCTCGATTTTAAAGATGTTATTACAATCAATAAAAGTTAGTCATTTATATTTTTATTTATATTTATATTTCATTATTTCTCATTATAACGAATTTACCAATATAGTTATCCATATTATTAAACTATTTTGATTGGTTATAAATAATCTTCAATACCTGAAAAGAACCATCGACATCCCGTAAGCTACATAACAGGATTGGAACCTAAAGCTGCAAGGCATAAAATACAAATACAAGAAACTGTTCCTGTAGCAATAGTACAATCATAAACAAATACAAGAAAAAGTCTTAAAGAAATATTGCAATTTTTTCTCGGTAATCGCTAATCTAATATAGTCCATAGGAACTCTGGAACAGGACCGCATATTGGCGGCGCATAAATCCGAATCCGTACCGGCTTTACATATTGTTTGTCCGACCTTTGAAGATCTTTTTATATTATGCGAGCGGGTGGTCTTTAATAATCTAATCTCAATTTGATATAATCTGCTAATTTAAAAATCAGTCAAATTTATGGTATATTGAAAAAAGTGTCTTTTTTTATAATACCGTAAAATTTGACCAGTCTTAAAAGAGACAGATTGGGTTCAATTGATAAAATATTTTTTGAGTCCATACACTCGGATAATACTAAAAGATATTTAGATGTAGTAGAAACGTTTTTAAAAACCGTTACACGATCGAAAATATACGCCGCAATCTGCGGTCCCGTTCTCAAGTTCCTATGATATAGTCTTCTCAATTTGAGACAACATGTATTAAAAAGAAAACATTATTTAAACACTAAAGAGTTTCCTGCTTTAATGGAAGAGGCAGACCTCAGTCGCGCCTCCATGCATTGTTTCAGACACAAAAGGACACCTCAGTAGAATCACCGACGTTCCGTAAACTAACTAGATAACTTTCTTACATGTCACTGGTATTAGAACTATAATAATAATAATTATAATAATAATAATAATAATAATAATAATAATAATAGTAATAATAGTAGTAATAATAATAATAATTATAATAATAATAATAATAATAATAATAATTATAATAATAATTATAATAATAATAATAATAGTAATAACAATAATAATAATAAAAGTAATAATAATAATAATAATAATAGTAATAATAGTAATGATAATAATAATAATAATTATTATTATTATAATAATAATAATAATAATAATAATAAATAATAACAATTATAATAACAAAAGTTATATAAAAAGTTAGAATTAATTGGTAAAAACATTAACTTATTCATGTAGTTTCTGAAAAATTCGTGAAGAATTAAAACATAAGAATATTTTATAACATACACCATTTGGGAATGATCTAATTACCGTCTAGACAATCATAGTCTTTGAAATACCAAAGGAAATTGTCGTGCTCGTTAGAGAACTTACGTAATTTGAGGATATTTTTATTTTGACATTTAAACAGTAAATAAAAATTGATCAAAATGATTTTTGGAGAAATGGTTAAAGGCTTAACAAGGAAATCAAAAGTCTAAATGTTTTGGATTTTTACTTGTGCTAGCAACAGCATTTACTTTAATTTTAACTTATTAAGTAACATGTCATGATTCACAGATGCTTTCCAGAATTTGATATGTTTCATCTTCTTTATGATGAAATTTTTAAGTTCGTTCACTTTCTAGCAACGTTTTTGAGATATTTAAGTTGTGTTTAACCATGTTTTCTCCCACGAATTATTCGTCATTGCTTTTAAATTCTCATATTTGAGTTATAAATTTTGTCTAACATAACTAGACCACCAATAACGATGACGATTCCGTAAAGTCATGCGCATGCAAATATCGATTAACTCACAAAAAACGATGTCCGATACTCTCAGTAAGTGATTGATGTGAGCAATTCATATAAAGTTATATATATAATATATATAATTTCTTTTAAGGCAAATAAACATTGAATTGAATATCAGAGTTTAAATTAGTCTTAAAGCCAATTTACTACAGTTATAACCTGGTTTATAATCTCACAACCTTCACCTTTCTGACATTCTGAGACCCAAACAAATTCAGCGCCTTCTGTGCTTTGATTGTTCTTGGCCCGATATCAACTCGTTGAATAACTGTTTGCAAATCACAACTTTGAATTTGCACATGTAATTACTGTCATTATAAAAGTCGATAAGTCTACAATGGACAAGTTATCCATTGATAAAACAATAGTAAAAGTATCATTTGGAAATTCTTATACAAAAGTTGCCTAAAATAATATTGAAAAAGTTCTAAGTGATTGAGTATGAACAATTATATAATGTATAAAACTTTTTTATTCAAGACCATTTTATTATCTTCCAAATAAATAAATGTTATATCGGATCATGTATCTTACACTTGCTAACAACTTCCATGTATTATTCATTAGTGGTTGTTGTTATTTCTGTAATTAAAAACTTTTACTATAGACCTTGGCAATTCTCTTAAAAGGGAGGGACTCCACTGAGGTTTTTTGACATGATGGGACTGAAAATATTTTTCTAGATAAATGTATCATTTGATGTAGATTTAGACCACTAATCTTTGTGTAAAATTTCAGATAATTCTAACACATTTTCCAGAATAATTATTCAAATTGTAAAACACCTGTATATAGGCCCCTGGAGCAGAGCCAGTTTAAACCCCAGGGCTTTTTTTTAACAAACTTGGTAGACAACCATTAGAAGATGTTTCATGCTAAACATCTAAGGTCTAGCTCGTTGGGTTTTTCAAAAGAAGATTTTAAAGTTTTTTCTTTAAACATATAGTTAAAAACAATGACACCCCTGGGGCAGGGCCAGTTTTGACCCCAGGGCTTTTATTTGAACAATCTTTGTAGACACTTACTAGAAAATGTTTCATGCTTAATATCTAAACTCTAGCTATTCGGGTTTTTTTCAAAGAAGTCTTTGCTATACACATATAAAGAAAATCAATGTCCCCCAGAGCGGGGCCAATTTTGACCCCAGGGCTTTTATTTGAACAACCTTTGTAGACACTCACTAGAAGATGCTTCATGCTTAATATCTAAACTCTAGCTATTTGAGTTTTTTCAAAGAAGATCTTTTAAGTTTTTGTTAGACACATAATTAT